TCATGCCACTGCACTCTAGCCTGGGGAACAGAGCAAGACCCCATTTCAAAAAAAAAAAATTTTTTTATTGCCTACAAAGTTACAAAGACATTCCCCTATATTTTCTTTGAAAAGTTTTAAATGTTTGATTCACATGGAAGTACTTATTTTTATGTATGGTGTGAACTAACTTTATCTTTTCCATATAGACAGAAGATTCCCAGCCATGTTAAGTGAATTTTTCTCCAGTCATTTGTAATGTCATCTCTCTCATTTGTGTCTGGGATCTCTCTTCTCTTCTTTGGGTCTATGTGGCTATCCTTGTACCAGTTCCGCACTTTCTTAATTACGATTTTGTAAGTCTTGGTATCTGAAAACTAAGTCTCCCCACCTTGTACTTGAAAATCATGTTAGCAATTCTTAGCCTTTTACTCTTTCACTTGAATTTTAGTGTCAGCTTTCAAGTCTACAAAAAAATTATACGTCTGGAATTTTAATTAAATGTGCATTACATTTATAAACAAATTGAGAGACCATCTTTATAATATTGAAGCTTCCCATCTATGAATATGGTATAGCTTTTCTTTTACTTAGGCCTTTTTTAATACCTTTCTATAAAGGTTCATAATTTCTTTCATAAAGATCTTACATGTGTCTGGTTTAGATTTATAAATATTTTCTAGTTTTTGTGAATATTATAAATGATGTCTTTTTAAAAAAAAAAAATTAGTTTCTAGTATATCAAACCCAACTGATTGAGTGACTGATGCTAATGTATTTAGAACCTCATACATTCTCCTACTTACAGTTTTAATGGAAAATCACTTACATTTCCTCTATGGACAATCCTATCTTTGGCAAAACAAGGAAATTTTGTTTCTTATTTTCCCATTCCTATATTTTTTCTATTTCTTGTTTTGCTGTGCTTATTAGGGCCTATATATAGTATAATTTACAGAAGAGGCAATAATAATGACTATCTTTGCTTTTATTTCTCTTGTTAAAGAAAACTCTAATTTTTTAAAATTAAGTTTAACGTTTAATATAGATGTTTAATAAATTTTCTTTCAAGGTAAGGAATTTTCATTTTGTTGCTAGTGTACTAAATTTTTATTAGGTGAGAACATTAAATTTTGTTGAATGACTTTTCTATATCTACAAAATTATATCATTTCATTAATCTAATCATGTAGTAATATATATACTAATAGATTAATGTTAAATCATTCTTACTTATCTTGTTCATTGTATTCCTTTTTTAAAATATATTTTATGATTTTTCTTCTATGTTCATAAATAAGAGTGGCCCCCAATTTTCCTTTCTCAAAATATCATTCTCCAGCTTTAGTTCCAAGATATTAACCTTATACAATAAATTGAGGCATGTGTCCCCTTTTCATATTCTCTGGACAGATTTGTATAATATTGTAACAATCTCCACTTTGCATGTTTAGTAGAACGCTACTGTAAGACAGTATAAATCATGTAAGTTTCTAGAAGATCGGTTTTGAACTGTTTATTAAATGTCTTTAATGATTCTAAGGTGAATCAGATTTTGGCTTCATATTGACTTGGTTTGTAGGCTATATTTTCCATGAAATTGTCCCCTTAATATAAGTTGAAAATGTAATGCCATTTCTCAAAGTTTGTACAAACAAAAGAAAAAAAAATATATATATATATATATATATATATAATTGAAAATTAAAGTATGAAAATGTCCCTAGTTTCTTTTATGACTTTTTAAACTCTTCATTGTCTCTGTAATTATGTTCCCTTTTTCACTCTAACATCATCAATTTGTGCCATCTCTCTTTTCCCTGATCTGTCTTGGTTTTTATCACATTTCCAAGGCTGTGAAACTATCACCATTATCTAATTGCAGAACATTTTCAACACCCCAAATAGGAACTCTATCCCATTTAGCAGGAGTCCCCATTTCTCTCTCCCCTTCCAACCCTTGACAACCACTAATCTACTTTCTGTCTCCATGGTTTTCACATAAATGGAAAACCATTTGCAAGTCATATATCTGATAAGGGTCTAGTATTCAGAATACATGAAGAACTCTTATAATGCAATAATAAAAAAATTAAAAATGAGCAAAGGATTTGAATATTTTTATCTCATATGCATTCAATATGTGATCTTTTGTGTCTAGATTTCTTTCAGTTAGCATAATATTTTCAAGGTTCATTCATTCATAGCATGTCACGATACTTCCTTTTTTTGTAATTGAATAATATCCCATCATATGGATATAATAAATTTTGTTCATCGATTCATTCAGCTGATGGACATATGGGTTTTTTCTACTTGTTGCCTAGTATGAATAATCTCTTTGAAAGTTCATAGGCAAGTTTTTGTGTAAACATCCTTTCCATTCCCTTGGAATATATACCTGAGTTGAATTGCTGGATTATATGATGATTTTTTGTTTAAATTTTTGAGAAACTGCCAAACTATTTTCCAAAGCACCATTTTACAGTCCCACCAGCAGTGTAGGAAGATTCCAAATTTTCCACATACTCTCCAACACTTGTAATTGCCCATCGTTTTAATTATAGCCATGCTAGTAGGTATAAAGCAGTATTGCATTGTGGTTTTGATTTGCATTTTCCTAATAAGTAATGATATTGAGCATCTTTTCATGTGCTCATTGGTCATTTGTATATCTTCTATGGGGAAATATCTCATTCAAATCCTTTGCCCATTTTTAATTTGTTTTTTATTATTGCATTATAAGAGTTCTTCATGTATTCTGAATACTAGACCCTTATCAGACACATGACTTGTAAATATTTTCTCTCGTTCTCTGGACTGCCTTTTCACTTTCTTGATGGTGTCCTTTGAATCACAAGTTCTTAATATTAATGAAGTCTGATTTGTCTGTTATTTCTTTGGCTGTTTGTGCTTTAGGTGTCATATCTAAGAAACCATTGCCTAATCCAAAGTCCCCCCTCCCTGTTTTTCAAATATGTATTTTATTATTTTTTCATTCTAAATACTTTTTCCACTATGATTTCATTGATGATCTAATTAGAAAGTCCCCCTCCCCACCATTATTCTTTTATTACTGGTTGCTCAGTTTCAACGACCCTCCCATCCCAACTCTAAGACCTCAATTCTGGTTGCTCCCTTGGGCATTAAAGCCTCCAGAGTGCCAAGACTAACACTCCACTCCCCTCTAACCCCTCTAAACAGTGAAGCTTCAGCTTGAGCTCCGCCACTACTTTGCATTTGTTTCTTGTTCGTGGGCACTTTTTTTTTCTTTTTTTTGGACAGTATCTCACTCTGTCACCTACGCTGGAGTAGAATGGCACTTACATAGCTCACTGTAGCCTCAACCTTCTGGATTCAAGCCATCCTCCTGCCTCAGCCTCCTAAGTAGTTGGGCCTACTGGTGCACACCACCACACCTGGCTCATTTTTATTTGTGTGTTTTTTTGTTTGTGTGTAGAAACAGGGGTCTTACTTTGTTGCCCAGGCCGGTCTCAAACTCCTGGCTTCAAGCAATCCTCCCTCCTTGGCCTCCCCAAATGCTGGAATTATAGGCATGAGCCACTTTGCCAGCCTCCCTTACTTTCTTACAAGCTCAAGTGTGTCTTTAAATGTTCCTGGGGGTAGGGGAGTTCCTATTATCTACTTCACAATTTTCTTTGAGGGCCTCTCCTCACCTCTAACAGCTCTTATCCCTTGTGACATGTCTACCTATTGTTCTTGATGACTACACTCTAATACCTTTGATCTAGGCTACTCTTGATGCATATTCAAGCCAGATGCCATCGTTATGTAAATAATGAAAGAAGTGTAGATGGAGGGTAGGGCTGTGGGGAGGAGGAGGGACACCCTTAGTGTGGTTTTCCTAGGGTCTTGCCAAGCCCTCACCTCCCAACCACCTTCCCACTGGATTGGAAGTCAGAGTCATATATTGTTAATGTGAACATCCATAAATCCAAGGAGATGCCCTATCAGCTTCCTTCTCAGTTGACCCTACTGGAGGGCCTCTCCCTAGACAGGGTCCTCGGACTAACATATGTAAGATTCCAAATGGAAAAGGAAATTGGAGAAGTAGGATATATATTAGCGCTGGAGGGATATATTATTCAGGCTATAAGTCTCACTCTCAATTTATTTTAAATAATATCAGGAGGAACCAGAAAATGAAGAACATGAGAACAACAGAGTAGGGGACTGGAATATTATCCAAGATGCAAAGCAAGCCTGACCAGGTTACCCTGTCATTTACTCAACACGGGTAACTGTTGCTGCCTTCTCTTCTACTCCACCACTATGGTCCTTCAATTACTCTGTTTCTTACTGCTTCACTATTTATTTTACAGTCCTTTTAATCATGGTATCTGTTTATTGATTTTTTCTTAGTAGGGTTTGGCTTCTGCCTGACCATCACTCCACGCCACCCATTCCCAAAGGCCAAGTGCCCTGTCACTGTGTCTCACACTCAGATTCCCCACTCAGATTCGCTTTGTCCAGTGGAGACAATAGCAATTGCTATTGTCTCCACTGGACAAAGCCACTACAACCAGCCATTCCCTAGGCTCTAAACCAGACGTTTAGTAACTGTGGGTCAAGTGCTATTCCATGGTTCAAGGGGCTAATGACCAGAGTAATGGGATCACACAGTTAGCTTTCTACAAAATGGGCGGGGATGGGGCAGGTGCTCTACGCAAAAGGAGTTCTGTTATAGAGAAGGGGATCAGAATGGCTCCTTCCACAATGAATCACACAGGGGCTGAAGCAGTTGAACCAGCCTAAGTTCAAATCCTTCCTCAGCCACTTACTACCTTAGGTGATTCTGAGCAGGACACAACTCTTCTAGTCTCCAGCCTCCTTGTCAGCGAAAAGAAGATAGTATGCTTACTGCCTAAGGATATGGGGGAAAGGAACTCTAGTTATGTTGTAAAGAACTTAGCACAGTGACTGGCACTTAGCAGGCACTCAACAAAATAAGTCTGTATTCATGGGCTTTCTCTCTCTCCTCTTCCCATGTCTCCCACCAGCATTGTAATGACCACCTGCTCCACCTTCTGTGCCCTTGGCATGATGCCTCTCCTCCTGTACATCTACTCCAGGGGGATTTATGATGGGGACCTGAAGGACAAGGTGCCCTATGGAGGCATCATGATATCACTGATCCTGGTTCTCATTCCTTGCACCATAGGGATCGTCCTCAAATCCAAACGGCCACAATATGTGCGATATGTTGTCAAGGTAAGAACCTGGGGGCTTGGCAAGTTAGGGCAAAAGAGTAAAAACACCATAGACAACTATAAGGCATAATCATTGTATTAATAATAAACATATATATGCTCCTCCTAGATGCTAAGTTTTATGCTATGCACTCTGAGGAGTTTCACTGTCGCCAGAGTTTGATATTTGCAGAAAGTGAAGTAACACACGAGGTCAGCATGGTGGCTCACACCTGCAATCCCAGCTCTTTGGGAGGCTGAGGTGGGTGGACCACTTGAGGTCAGGAGTTTGAGACCAGTCTGGCCAACACTGGTGAAACCCTGTCTCTACCAAAAATACAAAAAAAAAAAAAAAATTAGCCAGACATAGTAGTGAATGTCTGTAATCCCAGCTTCTCTGGAGGCTGAGACAGCAGAATCACATAAACCAGGGAGGCAGAGGTTGCAGTGAGCTGAGATCATGCCACTGCACTCCAGCCTGGGCCATAGAGTAAGACTGTGTCAAGAAAGAAAAAGAAAAAAAAAAAAAGAAAGTGAAGTAACACTTGAGAGAAACAAGATCCAATTCCAATGTAGACGCAAGTATTTGCAGAAGGCAAGGAGATGGAACAGTGAGGGCTGGAGTGGTCAAGGAGGCTTCTTAAAAAGAAAGAGCTTGAGGCATTTGGGTAAACCTGGGGAAAAGCCTGAACAGAGGATTTCAGAGGGCACCAAGGGCAAATTTGGCTGATGTGGTAAGAAGCTAGAGGAGAGAGGTGGTATACCCACTCCCAGCATTTCAGGAGAGGGATGGGGTGGGAGGTAGAGTTAAGGCCACAGAGGTTGTAAGGTTCTCCCTTGTATGCAGAAGAATCCCAGACTCTTAAGAGTGCAGCTATGGTCTCTCCACCATTTTCAGCCTTGGAGTTCTGTCCCTGCCAGCCTCCCCCTTGGCTCCCTACTAATCCCCCAGGGCCAGGGGGTCATCCTGGTCCTCAGGAAGGACTTGACCTCCTGTACTATCTCTGCCCCTGGATCAATGCCTCTGGCCTGGTCTGCAGGGTGTGCTGAGAACCCCAAAGTCTGGCAGCAGCTTTGGGCCTGGAACAAAGAAGCCAAGAGTTCCGTTTTTGGGGGGGTTATTTTCACACTACCATTGTCTCAAGAGGAGTTTTTGCCCTGGCCCTCTCCCAGTGCCATGGCTACAGCTCCACATCCCACCTGCTGCAGCACATTGAAGGAATGATCCCTCCTCTTTTCCGTGGCCAGTCATGGAAAAGAAGATAGTATGTTTACTGCCTAAGGATATGGGGGCAAGGAACTGAAGCCACTTAGCACAGTGACTGGCACTTAGCAGGCACTCAACAAAATAACCTACATTCACGGGCTCTCTCTCTCGCCTCTTTCCATGTCTCCCACCAGCACTGTGATGACCACCTGCTCTACCTTCTGTGCCCTTGGCATGATGTAATCCCTGGGATCTATGATGGGGATTACATCATCCTCTCCACTCTTGCATCTCGGAGACCTCCCTTTATTGATTATGTCCCCGCCCCAGCAGCCTCCCCTCTCTCACTCTAATTTCTACAGCATCTCTGTATTGGTTCTTCACAATCAGCTTTGATACAGACTCACGTATCTCTTATCTTCAAAAAACAAAACAAAAATTTTTTTGTGAAATCTACCTCCCATTCCACCTAACACCTCCCTTTGCTCCCCCTCTTCCTAGCCAGGCTTCAGGAAAAGTCCCCTTCACTCCTCCCTCTGTGTGTGTCAGTACCTCCCTCTCAAACACCTTCCTCTTCCCCGATGCCACCGCCAGAGCTCTCTCACGAGTGACCAGGCCCTCAGCAATTAATTTCCATTATTTGAATCCCTCTCTTCTCTTCTCCGTGGTCTCCCATCCACCCAGCATCTTGATGACCACCTGCTCCACTTTCTTTGCCAAATCCAATGGACACTTCTCAATCCTTCCTTGGACGTAATTGACCACTGCCTCCTTGTGTTATCTCAGTCAGTGGCATTCTGCATGCCAAACTGCCTCAACCAAAAACTGGGAATCATTCTCAATGTCCTCCTCTTCCTCACCACCCACATCCATCTAATCAATGACCATTGATTCCACCTTCTGTTGCTGGAATCCATTCATTCCTTTCCATCCTTACCTCTCACTAGACAACTTAAATGGCCTTCTCATCCTACCTCCTGAACCCAGTTTCAACCTGAGGGTGAAGATGTGAAGTACAAACTCTATCATGTCACTCCACTGCTTAAAGCCTCTCACTGGTTCCTTTCCCCTAGGATAGAGTTTAAATTCCTTAATGTGGCACTTGAGTTGGTCTCAACTGATCTACCAGTCTCAGCTATTTTCTCTTTGCACTTGACCTTCCCTTTACATGGAACACTCTTCTTCCCAATTGTCACCCCACTCACCCTTTAAATTTCAAAACAAATAGTGTCTCCTCCAGTAAGCCTTCCTGAACCTCCTAAGCCTGAGAAGGATGCTTGTCCTATTCATTCCCATAGTACCCAACACTCCAGCTAACCCTTGTAGCAATCTCTGCATTAAGAATACCTGGGGTTTTTTTGTTTGTTTTTGAGATGGAGTCTCTCTGTTGCCCAGGCTGGAGTGCGGTGGGGTGATCTCGGCTCACTGCAACTTCTGCCTCCTGGATTCAAGCAATTCTCCTGCCTCAGCCTCCTGAGTAGCTGGGATTACAGGTGTGAACGACCATTCCAGGCTCGTTTTTGTATTTTTAGTAGAGATGGGGTTTCACCGTGTCGGTCAGGCTGGTCTCCAACTCCTGACCTCATGATCTGCCCACCTTGGCCTCCCAAAGTGCTGGGATTACAGGTGTGAGCCACTGCGCCCAGCCATACCTATTCATTTTTATTCCCCACTCATTTCTCAAGAAGCAAGACCATAAAGCTGTGTCTTAATTAACACTGAATCCACAGCACGTATCACAGTGCCCCCATAGCTAATGCCTGAGAATAAAGGAATGAAGGGCAAGTCCTATCTGCTTCTCTTCCACACACCAGCAGAAAAACAACATAAACAGAGAAACATGATTGTGTGCGTCATTTCATTTCTTTAAGATAGTTCGTGGGGTGCATAACATTGCTTTAGTTTTTTAAAAATCCTATATACCCCACGAACTATCTTAAAGAAATATATATAAGATATAAAGAATATTAAAATGTGAACTGACCCCTGCTATCATTTAATGCTACTCTGCCCATTTTATAGGTGGGAAAACTGGAGACCAGAATACCAAGTCACTCTACTAATGATAACTGACGTGAGAGCATGTCTCCTTTATACCTCAAAGTAACTTTAAAAATGTTTCTCTGAGGATGCAAAAAGCAGAAGCTCAGATCTTAAAGCTGGAGAAGGCTTCAGGATGAAGTTCAGTCTCCTGCCTTAGTACCAATTTGCAGATAGAGTAACTGAGGCCCTGAAAAGTTACTTGGCAGAGCCAGGATTATCTCAGCTAGTCTCTGTTCCTGTTGTGTTGCACATTCACTGTTCAATGCCACAGGGAAAATGAAGTCAAAATGAGACCAGAGAACATTAAAAAGGCCAAGAAATACCTTGGCCAGAAAGACAGAGACCAGTAATAAGGGACTATATAAAAAGCAATCTAAAAAACCCAGGCATATCCAGGACCCATTTTGCCCCTGACTAAACCTCCAGGGTTAAACAACCACAAAGTTAACAGCTACGCTGATCTTCCTATATTCCAAAGCTGGAATCACTCCTGTAAGGATGCAGAGATGAACATGTGGGTCAAGCTGCAAAGGCTGAGGCATCCTTGCTTCTATGGCTCTTTGAGGACTAGGCTCATGCCTCATCACCCTATCCCATAAATAATATAGCGAGCACCAAACTGGAAATGAACAAATGATTGACCTACCCTCTTTGCACACTTAACCCTCCAAGGACCTTGCAAATCCAAATAACCCAACTTTCAATAACTAGCTCTGGCAGCAGCTATCTGCTCACACTGGGTTCAACCAGTTACATTCACTGGTGGAAGGTCACATTTAATATGCCAAGATACAATTTCAGGGATGCTCATTTTGAAAAGCAATTCAAGTAATTTTTAAATTACCCATGCAAGGGTTTCTCCAAAGGTTATGTGGTTAGAAGACTGATGAATCTGAGCATGACATGGCCAGGAGCCACTTTCATGATCAGCCATCCACCATTCTTTAATCCCACCATTTCACTGACTCAACACTCGACTCATGCTTTTCCATACCTGCTGCTACTGATGAACTGACCCCTGACTCTCCTTTGTCTTACAACTTCTGCCAACTTGTGGCTTTTATTGCTCCCAGGCTTCTGTGTTTTAACACTTGTCCCTGCTATTGCTTTCCTCTCTGTAATCCTGTAAACTTCCTAGATGAGACATATGATTATTTTTACCACTCATCAGCCTGCACAGGCCACCTTTGTGGGTTGACTGTGGACATGTCATCTCATGTGTCACTGGCAAGCCAATGGATTGGCTGCCCATAAATGGGCACTCATTCCAGTTGTGAGCAGGGCAATGAAGTCAGGTGGTACAAAACATGGCGGCCTATAAAGAAGCAACTACCCAAGACCGCCTGTCTCAGCAGGAATTGTAGACAAGATAAATTTCCAGAGATAGCAGCAGTGGGAGTGACAGAAAACTCTAGAATGTTAATTTCCTCTCCTTTGAGTAGTAATAGGAGTTAGTTTAGTGAGTTCTTATATGCCAGGTCCTATGCCCTCAACCTCCCTCAGGTTGCATGAATCTCCAAAGCTTACACACCTGGAGATTAGCAGAGTCGGCTTTCCCACCTGGATCATATCAAAGTCTGTGCTCATAGTCACCATTCTGCAGACCCCAAGAACTGGAGAACGTGAGTGAGAGAATGAGAGTGAATGCCTATACAGAGGAAGAGGGCTTCTGGATTTGTGGACAATTCCTGTAGCATAGTATCTCCTACATTATCATTACACTCTGATCCTTGGGTAGAGGACAAATTCAAAAGACAGAAATCCAAAAGGGGAAATCAACTAAAAATGCAAGGGTAAACTGAGTTCATTACCTAATACATCTTTTAATAAAACTTGAAGCACATGGTTATTGAAGAGGTGTGAAAGTCCTTCCCATGCTGGGATAGGACCACTAATTGGTATAGGTGATGTTCTATATGATCACATCAGTTGCAAAAAGGATTAAAAACAGAACACAAAGCTGTGCAGCTGAAATCTGGGCAATAAAAATGTTAAAATGTCATTAGGACATTACAAACGTACTTAAAACCACTGAACTGTACACTCAAAGTGATTAAACTGGCAAACTTTGCTATATGTATTTTACCACTTTAAATGTTAAGATTATCCTATAGACAGGATAAATTGTAATAAAAAGATGGGCTGGGTGCAGTGGCTCACACCTGTAATCCTAGCACTTTGGAGTGGGGGGTGCCAAGGTGAGAGTAGTACTAGAGTCTAGGAGTTTAAGACCAGACTGAGCAATATAGCGAGACCCTGTCTCTAATATTAATTTAAAAAAATAACTTTTTTAAAACAGGAATCCAAAAAGACAAAATAAAGATCTTTCACATTCCCTTCCACTTCGAATTTTTTAGTGCAATGTTTTCCACCTCCAATTTCTACCTGTGCTTCCCCACCTCTCTGTTCCTCCATATCCCCAACCCTTCTAATTGCCTTATCTTTATTCCCAGGGAGGGATGATCATCATTCTCTTGTGCAGTGTGACCGTCATAGTCCTCTCTGCCATCAACGTGGGCAAGAGCATCTTGTTTGCCATGACACCACTCTTGGTGACAACCTCCTCCCTGATGCCTTTTATTGGTTTTCTGCTGGGTTATGTTCTCTCTGCTCTCTTCTGCCTCAATGGACGGTAGGTATTACTGAATTTTTTTGACACTGTCTCACTCTGTTGCCCAGGCTAGAGGGCAGTGGCACATTCTCGGTTCCCTGCAGCCTCGACCTCCTGCGCTTAAGTGATCCTCCTGCCTCAGCCCCCGCAAGTAACTGAGACTATAGGCACAAGCCACCATGCCCAACTCATTTGTCTAGAAATGGGATTTTGTCATGTCACCCAGGCTAGTTTTGAACTAATGAGCTCAAGTGATCTGCCTGCCTCTCAGCCTTCCAGAGTGCTGGGATTACAGGTGTGAACCACTGCACACCTGGCAATAGGTATTTTAGGTCCCACTCTCCCATGGGCTTCATTCTTGTCCTAGTCTTTCAGGAAAAGCAGCTAGCACCTGAAATCTGCACAAGGCATTTCCCTAGCTATATGTTCAAATGCAGCAACCGGACAATAGACTTTCGACCTAAAAATAATTGAAGGAAGGACTGAATGGGTTAAGAATGCAGACGCCAAAGGCATCCAAACACCAATAGCAACAGCAAAGTAGCATCTAGATTCTGTCTGCTGACGAACTCCTTGGTAGTGTCCCTGGGGTAATTTCGTGTCATCGTGACAGGTGTTGATAATGCTCCTCCTCCTTGCCCCCTTCTCCTCTTCTGCCTAGGCTTCAGTCCCAACACAGACACCACGGGGTGACACTCAGAGCTAAGCAGCTGTGAACCTTGACTAACGTAATCCAATTCACAAACAGCTGCTCCTCTGTAGGAACAGTTTGAGGGCATGGTACATGACCATCAGACAACCTAACATAGTAGTATGAGGACTTTTCTTCTTTTTAGCCACAGTAGACAAGTGCTTAAGCAGAAATCTAAACATTAGTAGCACCCCATTTTTAAAAAAAAAAAAGATTTTAAAAATATAATTTTAAAAGTAATTATCCATTTTTAAAGACATGTTAAACAACAAATTACCGCAGGATGTAAAATATGATGATATAGTGAGTCAAAAGGCTGTCAATGACCACTTGGTGATGTTCGCTTTCACCAAAACAAAGAGGGTGATGCAGACCATAACTGGCCACAGAACCATATGCCACTACAGTAGTCTCCACCGTAATAAATGTGCTATGTCTCTCGGGTTTTTTTCTAGTAGATAACTATTTTAACACAGTAAGCTGCAATGCAATGAATTACATATGTATTCATTACACGTAAACATCTCACCCTTTAATCCACAAAATGTAAAACAAAACCAAGAAAATGTGTTTCAAAGATAGACAATGGAACTGAATCAGGTTTTGCTTTTATCTTTAATCATTACATGTTTTAAAGATACGTAAGCCAGAAACTTGGAAAACAGGACAAGGTCCCAGACATTTCAGACAAACTTTTTCTAATATATATTAAAAATGTAATTGTCCTATGAGCCCAATATAACAAACCAATTAATAGATACTGGCTTTCTTTCATCTCTCAGTAGCCAGACATTTCTACAAATTCTAATTCAGCAACTCTACACAAACAAATCATAGATTTCTAAGCTACTCAAAAAAACCTCTCACAAAAGCTGCCTGGGTACGAGCCACCATCCCCTCACAGGGCTGGATTGGTGTCAACTGGGTCTACTTTTTTCAGAACCGATGTGCATTCCACACACCTGGCTCCCTTCCACCTTCTTATGCTGGAGTGTTCAGTGAATCCTAGAGTATCTGGGCTGGGGGTGGGGTAGCGCACAAGCAAAGTTGCTTCCTCTAGTTCCTTCTGAGCGCATTTGGGGCTTTCTTCACCAACACAGGTGCAGGCGTACTGTCAGCATGGAGACCGGATGCCAAAACATCCAACTCTGTTCCACCATCCTCAATGTGGCCTTTCCCCCCGAAGTCATTGGACCACTTTTCTTCTTTCCCCTTCTCTACATGATTTTCCAGCTTGGAGAAGGGCTTCTCCTTATTGCCATGTTTAGGTGCTATGAGAAATTCAAGACTCCCAAGGGTGAGTACTGAATTGTCCCCACTTCAAGTTCTGCTCCAATATTGGACCTGAGCCTACCAACAAGCCAAGTTTCTATTAGGGACTTTTTAGATAGGGCTTTAATTCTTAAGTCACTAAGAACCAGGTAGCCCCAAGAAGCATGCAAGAGGCTTTAAAGATCCAAGTCTACTTCAACAACTGCACGCCATTTCTTCCTTCGGGCTGGAAGAACAAAATTGTGGATGCAGTTTACCTCATAAAACTGAAGCAATTTGGGCTGCTTTGTGTCAGTGGGGAGACATCACAGGACAGAACTGCCTTGGACAACTGAGATTACTAGTTGTGTGAAAGGCCACTATTCACAAGAGTTGGGGAAGTTTCAGTTTCTCAGAGCCAGGTTTTCATTTCCTGGAACCAGATCAGAACCAAGCACCACTGGCACCCCCATATGAGGAAAAACATATGAAAGCAATAAAGATGATTTCTCAACCCTAGTTACACAGTAAAGGAAACTTAAGCATAGCGTTAAACAGTAACTACCTCCACAATAAACTTGATTAGTATGATTTGTACTTTATTCTTACCACGGGGTAATAAAGCATCTCTTCTCTAAAATGCTCAGAGCATTGCCTTTCAAAATATAATCGAACCTCAAGACAGACCAGAGACCACAGTGCCTTCCTCAAAGTGCACTTTAACACCAATTTAAAAAAAGACACTCAAACCTACTTTATAACACATTTCATTATTTTATAACTCTAAACATTAGTGTATTATCCCTAACTACTTACCCAAATCCTTCAACTGCCCCTTCATGTCCACGAATTGAAGTCCCCTTCAAAAGTTTTTCTAGATCCTAGGGACTGTGATTTAAACCGTAGGAGAAATACACAACTTTCCCTGTTTGAATTTGTCACATTATACTAGCAAATACTGATTCTCTCTCCCTTTGCAGTTAACTAAGATGTAATTAGGTTGCCAGCCAAAACTAAACAAGTAAAGGCTGACCATACTCTAGAACCATTTTAGAAGCTTTGGTTCAAAGCTACAGTGGAGTTTTAAGAATCTAGTCCAGGCGTCCCCAAACTACGGCCCCCTGAGGCCATTTATCCGGCCCCCCGCCGCACTTCAGGAAGGGGCACCTCTTTCATTGGTGGTCAGTGAGAGGAGCACAGTATGTGGCGGTCCTCCAAAGGTCTGAGGGACAGTGAACCGGCCCCCTGTGTAAAAAGTTTGGGGATGCCTGATCTAGTCTGATGCTTATCTGAGAGGAACTCAACAGATTTGCTGCCTTCTCACAAAAAGTCCACAAAAGTTTCTAGATCAACCAAGTTCGCAGATTTGAGGTTTTAGAACCAGAAGGGCCTGGAATGACCTCAAAGGACAACATTCTATGGATCTTTAGCTCTCAAGGCTTACAAAAAACTTTCCACACAATGCATTTCAGAAGATCCCAATGGAAACACTCAATCAAAACAACTTATTTCTTTGGACCTAATGGCCCCAAGAAGCTATTCTCAGGGCGAAAAATCTGTCAAGTTTTTATACTTTTGATTCTTGCACCTTTCTATACAGATGGGAGAACTGTGTACAGAGAATTCTCCCATCTGTACAGAAAGGTGTGGGAATCAAAGCTATCTTCAAATTTGCATCACCACCTACACTGTGGGCAAGAAAAAAAGCAGAACAGAGTTGGTGAAAAGAACTGGAAACTCTCTTGGTTAGACTTTCTCAAAGATCTTTCCTCCCTGCCTCCTTATTCCCTGAATGCAACACAGTCCCTGCAAACATAAACCCATCTCCCCTGCTGTTTTACTGTATGTACAAAGAAGTTAGAGGTGAAATGATGAAGACTCAACAGTCTAATTCATTAGGACTTTTATTACTACTACCACCATTAGAGAGATTGAGGGGAAAATGAATTTAAATCATGGAAGAGACAGCAGAGATGGAAACTATATACACAGCACATCTTAAGTCTCAGTTGATATTATTTTCCAGATTAAACAAGTTTCATTGTTTTACTCCCCTTGTTCTCTCTCTACACCTATGGCCCTTTTTAATTTTACAGATAAAACGAAAATTATCTACACAGCTGCCACAAGTGAAGAAACTACTCCAGGAGCTGTGGGAAATGGCACCTACAAAGGGAAGGAGTGCTCCCCTTGCAAAGCCTAGCCCCTCCTACGGCGGCCTGGATTCTGGTCCCAAAGCAAATTCCAAAAGCCAGTCTGGTAAACTACAGAGAGCAGCAAAAACTCTAGTCTTGCCTGAGTCTCTCCAGCATTTCTAGTACATCTATCGGAATCATCAAGCCTTGGCCGGAACACACAGTGTCTACCCAAGAAGCCTCACCTATCCCCAACTTGGAATTTGCTAAAGACTTGTTCAGTGACTGTCAATCTGTGAAACCAGAAACCCAATCTGCTTCTTGCCAGGATCTCTGTAACAGTGCCTGATAAGTATCTTAAGTCGCTAAATTTCTGAACTAACCAATCTATGTGTTTTATCCATTATTCAAATACCCAAATCCCATTTGAAGTTTTGTGACCCAAAAGAGAAATAAATGCTCAAAAATACTGTAGAATTAGATTTCGGAAGTTCTAACCTAAAAAATTCAGACCCCATTTTTTCCCTTTTGACTTGATTAGGGTGATGCTCCTGAAAAGTCAAATTTGACACCAAATATGCAGAAGTGAAAACAAGATGCAGCTAAGCAGAACAAACTCAAAAATAGCTAATGAAATGAAAAAACTGGGAGAATGCATCAAGTTAGCAGAGGGGAAAAACCGTGACAAGGAGAAAACAGGAAACAAACATACACTAACACAATGTTATTACTAATCCCCGTAAGTTCACTAGGTTTCTGGTTTTAACACAAAGGGCCTCCAAAACTGAGTACAGCAATCTATTGCCAAAATGAGTGGTTTCCCAATTAAAAGAAAAATACTCAAATAGCCAGAATTCACAAATTTCAAATTATATCTAATAAAATTTAAACATTTTGCGTATCATACGCGAATAAAGATCAAGTAAATGATTGACAACATTAACACTTGCAAAAAGTCAATCATGCTTAGTTACTTGGGACTTTTATATCATTTTGTATGGCCGGGTACAAATAAAACCAAGACAATATAGTTTGGTTTTATTTGTAAAATGTGCAGGACTAACAAAGAGAGCCAATACCAAATCAAGAATCACAAATTTGGATTACTAACATCCTCTTAAAAATGCACATCTTTGAATAGGCTACTACCGACCATTTTTGCTGATTATATATATATATACCTACCTGTTCAAATTGTTTTCTCTATTATCTAATCAACATCATCTGCTAAGAGACTTGTTTACATAGTTATGTAGGAATACATTTGTTTAGCTTTTGGGGAAGATAGGGTGGGACTCAAACTGTCCTTAGAAAGGAATAAAGATGAAAGGAACATAAACATGGAAAACAAAGGTTCAACCATGGCCTGCAAAGGCAGGTCCTAAACCTTTCCTTAGGATTACATCCACACTCCTCATGACCTCTCAAGTCTGGTTTTGAGTCCCTTTTTGAGATATAACCTATTTATTTTCCTGCCACTTTTTCAAAGGAATTTATTTTATTCCCTAACACCTCTAAGATTAAAAGTAGCTTAAGTCTTGGTGGGGCATTGTGGTTCACGCCTGTAATCCCAACACTTTAGGAGGCTGAGGTAGGCAGATCGATCATTTCAGGTCAGGACACGAGACCAGCCTGGCCAAACACTGTCAAACCTTGTCTCTTGTTAAAAATACAAAAAATCAGCCAGATATGGTGACGGGCACCTGTAATTCTAGCTACTGGGAGGCTAGAGACGTGAGAATCATTTAAGCCTGGGAGGTAGTGGTTCCAGTGAATCGAGATGACCCCACATATTCAAAACTGGGTGACCAAGCAAGACGTCTCAAGGGGAAAGAAAAAAAAAAAAAAAAAAAAAAAAAAAAGGCCATAGTGGCTCACGCCTGTAATCCCAGCACTTTGGCAGGCTGAGGAAGTTAGGAGCTTTCTTAGACTCTGCATTTGGAATGAAGAGTCTGGACTCGAACCAAGGTCTTCTGGCATCTAAGTCTGGCTCCCCATGGGGAAAGCATGGTAGCCCACCTGAAGTCACCTGGGCCCTCAAGTGTGGGCCAGCCCTACCAAGAACTCCCTATATGACCCCAGGAATGTCCCCGACTCCGGGAGCCTCAGAGTAGAGGTGGAAAGTAGAGCATAACTTGAGGTCAGGAGTTCAAAACCAGTCTGGCCAACAGGGTGAAACCCCACCTGTACTAAAAATACAAAAATGAGCTGGGCATGGGGTAGGTGCCTGTAATCCCAGGTACACGAAAAGGCTGAGACAGGAAATCACTTGAACCCAGGAGGCAGACGTTGCAGTGAGCCAAGATCACCCAAACTACGTAAAAGAGCAAGACTCCATCTTAAAAAAATTTGTCTGATTGTCTTAAGGGTAGAGGTAAAAAAACATCAACATACTACCATACTGCACTGAATAGCCATGTTTCAAAACCCCTAAGGGTAGAAAGTCGCTTTTGATAGCAACTTCAGGCTGACCAAGTACTGTCTTCAGAGATGCTAATTCTAGATTTCACCACTGATTAAAATAAACGTAGTTCCCTCAACTAATTCAACAGGTATACCAACTAAACTCAGCCTATTACGATTACCAGCTTTAAACTTCCATGGCCTGTTCTAGTGTTCGAAACAGCAAGGAAGTGGCCTTTTAAAAACTAAGGATACCGAAAACGTTCCAATTCTCCCAAATGGGAGATTGCCACTCCCCAATCCCCACACTTTCAGGAAGCTAAGAGCAGTACTTTCCTAGTGCTTCTAGTAGTTCTGGGTTCTTCCAAATCCCTGTATTGCTAAGGGCAATTATTTGGCACCTGAAACACTACCTGGCTACTATCAGATGCCACATAGACCTTAGCCAGTTTCTCAATATTTATGTAGTGTAATCCCCAGAGAACTAAGATTATCTAAGAGTCTTAAAACTCCTGTATCAATAAAGCTCGTCTTCTACACATGTAAGGCAGAGCTTGAAAGCTCAAACATTTAAGTCTATTCGTGTGGGTCTAAGACCTTACGCACTTTGCACTATTGTTTTCCCCTAACCATATACTACCCCATTCTTATCTCAGAACGAAAAGTAGCATGTCAAAGTCCCTTAAGCATTCTTGTTTGTTGATAAAAAGAAACTTTTATCTGGCCACCAAAACTGCGACACTATGGTTCACACCTGTAATCCCAGCACTCTGGGAGACCAAGTTAGAAAGATCACTTGAGTCCAGGAGTTTAAGACCAGCATGGGCAACATAGCACAACCCTGTCTCTCCAAAAATAAAAAATTAGCCACAAGCAGTAGTGCATGCCTGTAGTCCTAGCTACTCAGGAGACAAAGTGAGATTATCTGAGCCCTTGAGGTCAAGGCTGCATTCCAGCCTGGGCAACAAGACAAGACCCTGCCTCAAAAAACCAAAAACAAGGCCAGGCACAGTGACTCATTCCTGCAATCGTAGCACTTTGGGAGGCCAAAGCAGATGATTAGGAGTTTGAAACCAGCCTGGCCAACATGGTACAACCCCATCCCTACTAAAAATACACAATTATCCAGGCATGGTGGTATATGCCTGAAATCTCAGCTATCTGGGAGGCTGAGGCAGGACAATTGCTTGAACCCAGGAGGCGGAGTTTGCAGTAAGCCAAGCTTCCGCCATTGTACTCCAGCCTGGGCAACGAAAGCGAAAACTCTCTCACACACACACACACACACACACACACACACACACACACACAAAACCTGTATCATAACCTTTAATGTAAGCAAGAAATGTTGCTTTCTAAACACACTATCCTCCTCTTCGCTCTGGATGCTTAAGTAACCTGATGCCAATAACACAGGAGACAGGGAAAACATGGGGTTGGAGCAGACACAAAATTCCAACAACTATGATTTTAGCATTCGCTAATCTTTTGACTAGCTTGAAAGCATCAAAGAAACTATTTTTAAAAAGAGACCACAACAAACTCCAGGATTTTGGATGTCTTCTGGATTCTAAATGTATTGTATAAAGGTAAGGATGAGTAAACAGCATAGGACGTCTTCAGACAAACGGACAAAAATGAGTTTTATAATATTTTATTATCAATAACAAACAGCTGCTTTTATGTCTGTCCTGCAGCTGTTAACGAGTGGGAGGACACCCTTGACCCTAACAAGTAAAACAAATTAAGCCTTTATGTACAAGCAAATTTAGAGCTCTTTTAAGTGTCCAAAGCTATTAATTAGTTTAATTGAGACATTAAACTAATTCTGAATTAACATATTTAATAACCAGGAACTAAAATGTTCAACTTTTTTTTTCTAGTACAAAAAAATTAAATTTGCTTTAGTTATAAAAGAGCTCTGTCAATATACAGAAACTATATACTTCAGACATTCACAAAAATGTGAGCAGGAGGCTTATCAAAAGACATTTAATACAATTAGTTTTCAACAACCCCTTGGTGGTCCACATCTACAAAGATATCCAGCCCAACCCAACCCCCCTTCCAAATCCCACCCCCACAGAAAAGCACATACTTACCAGAATTTTTAGCAAGTATGGTTTGGGAATTTTTGTAGTTTTTGTTTGGTTTTGTTTTTTAAAAAAAGGCCCCCAGGGCAAGTTATTTACAGTTTAATTGCCACTGTCAACTGATCTGGACCTTGATCGGGACCGGGACCTCTGGCGATCCACAGATGCTGGAGACTTAGATCTACTTGAAGAACCACGTTTCTGGCTCTTCTCAGGCACGGGAGACCTACTAACAGAACGGGACTTGCTCCGGCTCCGGCTCCGGCTCCGGCTTCTTGACCGGCTGTAAGATTTGCGACTACGGGAACGGGATCGGCTACGAGACCTAGAGGAACTTCTGGTCCGGGATCGAGACCTGCTTCTTGACCTACTATGAAAAAGGAGACTAAATCAGCCTTATCTTAGAAGAGATAAGACCCTACAACAAACCCATTAAATACAACTTTTGACTTTATATATAGATACCTGTGCCTTTTGCTTCCTTCAATTAATTTTATTTTTCTCCCATTTATTTCCTTTCCAGAAAGTTTTTCAATAGCATTCTTTAAATCACCATAAGAGGCAAACTCAACCACCCTAAAATGGAAAAAAGCCACTTTTAAAATACATACATCCTGTAGTCTCACACATTGCACACAGCAGTCTAGGTAAGTCGTTTCTGTGTTCACTTTGCTGTTGCTACTACTGAGTCTCACATCCGGTAACACAGCATTAAAAGAGCAAGGTTTCGACATTGTTACACTTTGAGCCAATTAACCGTGGGGGGGGAGTTCCTATGCATTGGATGCTTAGCAGGATACCTAGCCCCTATCCACTACATGCCAACAGCATCCTCCCTCAACAAGTTGTGACAACCAAGTATGTCTCCAGACGCTGCCAAAGATGTGTGTGGGGGAGAGGCAGCAAAACTGTCCCTGGAGAATCTCTGCATTCTAATATATTCAAAATTTAAGTCCTCATAACTAACTTCACAGCAAAATTTTCAGGATATTTTTAAAGACTTCCACAATTTCCAGTACATACCCTTCATTTAATTTAGGTCGATGTGCATCCGCAAACGTTACTTCCCCAGCTTGTCTCATGAAATCTTTGAGATCCTTAACACAAGATAATTGTGTTAAGCAAAGAAGAGGAAAGGGGACACACAAACAATCACATGATATAAAAAATAAAAAAAAACAAGACTACTGAAAGAGAAGATGTTAGATAAAGTACAAACATGGCATTTACCACACTTGTATTCTATCAGAATTCAAAAATTATCTATGTCAGGGCACGGAATAAGCAAATAGCATATTGCTTTTAAGCAAAATGCTGGAAGAAATTCAGATTTTAACATTAAGGTAGTATTAGTCTATACTGAGCTCAGTACAAAAGAAAAAAAACAAACAAAAAAACAACAAAAAAGGGAAACAGTACATATTTTTAAACTAAAGACTAAAGTAGAGAAATTTTATTTAAAAAAAAACAGAACATTTACAAGACACCAGTTATTTTGTGCCCCATATGCCATTAAAAAAGTTTACTTTACCTTTATTATTATTTCCCTAGGCTAGTCAAGCAGCAAACCATTAATCGGTCGGAGAAACCTTCATGACATATGCCCGACTGGCTCTTCGCCACCCACTTGAAGGACACTACCCAATCGATGGAAGCCTTTAATCGCACAGCCCTCCCTATTAGCAGACTATTGGCGGATGCAGACATGTTCTACTCGAGCAGTTACCAAGGACCACTTTACTGCAATCAGGATTCCAACGACCACCTAATTTCGTATCTTTCAACTCTTTTCGACCGGACCTCTTATTCGGAAGCGTTACAGGAAGACAGGTCTCAACTTAGGGATCAGATCACGTTATCAACGCTCTGGGATCGCTGCAACCTGGCACTTCAAGGAAGTGCACCGATAACGTCTAGACCGGCAAACACAGATCTAGAGGTGGCCAACTGATCACTGTAGGAGCTGACTGGCAAAGTCAACCAGGCCCAACCAAGAGTGACCAAGACAACGATTAGGATAACCCACAGGCACTCCTCGTCATAAGGCCAACGACACAGACAGGCTGGCAAATAAAGGGTTTAATATTTGGTTAAAAATTGATTTTAAAAAACAAGAAAAATATCCTCAAAACATTTACATTTGATCACTAATATTAAAATTCAAAATATCCCCCAATTAAATTTAATTAAATGTTTAAAATTACAATTCCATTAAATCCATTAATTTAAGATAAAATTACTTTTAATAAAACAATAAAACATTAGCTACCCATTAACTTTTTTAAAAAGCCACATTAAAATAACTCGAAATTGTATTTCAACAAACCTGCCAGCTGACTCTTGAAGATAAATTCTCAACTATAAGCCGATTTTCTGTTCTTACAGGTGGAGCATTTCTGAGGAAGAAAATTAGTATTCACAATGAAAGAAATGCAATGACGAGCACTTGTGTTCAACTGTGATCAAGTCATCAAATATGACAAGCCATTCTAATGACTTCTGCCAACAGTTTCTCTGTTCTTCTATGACTCAAGATTCATCAAGAACAATGGGCTACCATGGGAATAGAAGATTATTATACAGGCCAGGCACAGCGGGAGGCCGAGGAAGGCAGATCAAGAGGTCAGGAGTTTGAGACCAGCCTGGCCAACATAGTTAAACTCCGTGTCCACTAAAAATAAATATATAAAAATTTAGCAAGGCAAGGTGGTGGGTGGGCCTCTATAATCCCAGCTACTCAAGAGGCTGAGGCAGGAGAATCGCTTGAACCTGGGAGGCAAAGGTTGCAGTGAGCCTAGACAGTCCGGGGGACAGTATGAGACTCCCATCTCCAAAAAAAAAAAAAATAAGGTAGGACCCAGAATCGTCACTGCTAGTAACTCCTGAACCTTAAATGCTAACCCTACAATAATCGTTCAATGCAGCCATCCACCCCTCACATACCGTCTATCATTTCGAGGTCTGCGACTACTAAAACGGTCAGAGTATCGTCCTCTACCTCTTCCACCTCGTGACCGAGCCCTAGCATGTTCAATAGTAACCCTACAAAAACAGAAAAAAATCTCAATTATACACTTAAATTATATAGATCTACTTAGAAAAACATCCCAACAGACCCAATCTGCTCTATGTCTCAGGACTAACTAGTTACACGGGAGTCTCACCTTTCACTACAGAGTTCTTTTCCATCAAGCTCATACACAGCATCATCTGCATCCCTCGGATCCTCAAATTCCTAAAATGTAAATATATGACACTTAGCATGGCTTTAAAAGAGTATTCTACAACATATTAAGAGCACTGAAATCTGGAGACAGAATGGGAATGGGAGTATCTTAACGACACTGCCACATAGCAAAACCTAATCCAAGAGCCACTGGAGTGGGTTCCAGTGAGCCGCCAAGTTTAAGTTGTTTTCACCCTCAGTAAAATTCAGACACAAGAATGGGTAACATTTTCTGAAGGCAAATATTCTACCTGGACTCAAGATCAGTAACAACTGCTTATCAAAACTCTACCGACCTAGCAGATAGTTCACCAAGTTGTAAACACTTACCACAAAACCAAAGCCTCTTTTCAAATCAATATCTCTTATCCGTCCATATCCCTTGAAGAATCTTTCCACGTCCTTCTCCCTGGCCGCTGGATTTAGCCTCCCGATGAATACTCGACAGCCACTCATGATGTCCGGCTAGTATTTCCTATTAGACAGTAATTCAATAGAGATAACAGCAATGACTGTCAAGAGGAGTGCCTGATCGAAGAATCAAAAACAAACGGCATAAAATGTTTACCCAGTGATATTATGGACGAGACTGCCAAGAGCGCCTCTAATGAGACCAGCCTCCTTGCCGACAAAACTAAAACGCGGCTCGTTCCCAACACGGTCGCTCCCCGGGCCCAGACGCAGCAACCGCAACGCCCACCGCCACCTCTCCAACTGCGCAGCCGCACACTCTCCGCGGCGCTCCGGCCCCCTCCCATCTGCCGCAGTTAGGAAAGACCGAGAAGCGCGGGCGGAGCCGCCCCCGCCCTCCGCAGGGCCAGCCCAAAGGCGGCCTCGCGGGGGCGTCACAGCAGGTGGAAGCCGGAATCTCGCGACGCTACCGCCGCGCCTGCGCCAACAGCAGCGGGCGGGCTCTCCGCGGCCACAAAATGGCGGCGCAGAAGCAGCGGCAGAATCAGCAGCAGCAGCAGAGCTGCGCGTGCCAAACTCCCTTCTCTCGCCTCCTCCCAGCAACTCCCCCGTTCTGGGGTCACTGGGGCCGCCCTCAAAAAGGCCCAACCGCATCGCCAGCAAAGTCAGAACCGGCCCACTACTCGACGGGTCCGGGTAATGAAGACGTTAAGCCTGGCAGGGAGGGGCGCGCAGCCGCCGTCAAAACGACCCCAACACTGACCGCCATTCCATCTCAATACCCTTAAAACAGTATGCCAAAAGGGAGACGTGCCCCAGCGCCCACCTCGAATCAACTGTGCTCATTATAAACGCCGTCCTCCGCAAAGAAAGCAGCCCCGGGACACTCACGGTGCGAGCGGCCGTGAAGAAACCTCGATCCGAGAAGGGCTGCCCTCAAAGTGGGCCACTCACCTTCCGGACGGGGTCTTTGGCGGCTGAGACCCAGACAGGTCCGTAGTCTGCGACGGAGTCGTCGGCCTCCACGCAAACCAGGACCTCACTCGTCTCCGTCTCTCCACAACTGACGCACTTAGCGGCTCTAGCGCTCCACAAAATGGAGGGCGCGTCCTGCGTCACTTCCGGTGACGCCCCTGGGCCGTGGGTCCGCCTCCTTGGGACCCAGGGAAGACGGAAGTGTCGCGGGACCCTGACACTGCGAGCTGCTGACCTCGCCGCCCGCGGTGGGTGGAGCCAGGGGCGGGAACTCGCTTGGGTGCGGCCAGCAAGTCCCTGAGTCGGGAGGGACACCCGTTGAAGTGTTTCTCCGCTTCTAAAGCCTTGGAGTCCGGTTCGTCATCATCTCTCCCGGAAGACTCTCCTGAGATAAATTTCACCCCTTTTTGTATCTAGTTTTTCGTAGATACCCAGAAGATTGCTAATTAGGAGAGACTTAGCTTTGCAAAAATACCTGGCCTTTCCTTACCGCACTGCTTGCAATGTAAATTTGCCCTCAAAGCAGGGGAGCTCCTAGATGTTCGAGTTTTTGTTTGTTTTTTTTTTCAACCATGCCACAGCTGTATGGTTTAGTTGTACTGAGAAGACTAAGGAACTGAAGTATTTTTTAAATAAAAGGGTTTGAGTGATGAAATGTTGAAAACAGGATTGCAGCTGGAAGGCTGTCTTGAATTGAGGCTGTAATACAGATTTCTGCGTTTCCGTCACTCTGGGAGAGTGACTGAAAGAGGTTTCAAGCTGCTTTTAAGTTCAAATGGTATTTGGTTAATGCTCCCCGTTCTGATTGCTGTAATGTAACGCATGAAAGTTTACAATTCTTATGTCGTGCCTTCAAAGTTGGCTGTGTTTGACACAGCCCTCCACATTTAACTCTTGTGTTTTCCCGATAAAATTGGTAGCCTAGAAACTTAGGCATAAAGAAATGGGTTAACTTTGCTTTAATGCTTTTATGTAGAAGCCAGGACACCAAATTTTTGAGAAGTGCCCAGAGTCTGGAGTTGGTGTGCTTGCAACTAGACTTAAACAGAGAAAAAGTAGTTCAGGAAGGAGAGCAACTGACAATATGAAATTCGGATAGTTTCTATGGGATAAGATTGTCCATTCATAGTTACACGTGCAAATCAAAAGAGCCTCAGTGGGTACATGAAGTAGTTGTAAAGTTAGTTACCTATGATGTGGGAGTAAGGATGGGTTTATAAGACAGTGTGTGTTTGTTCATGTTAGGTCTCCCATATGCAATCCTGGAGCCTGAAAGTCTGAAGTCCTGCTTGCCTTGGCTGATGCCTCCCATCCCCTTCCCCCGACAAGCCCATCACCCAACCCTACCATCTTAATTGTTCTTATGATAATGTAAATACCTCTCACCCAACCCTGCCATTGTAACTGAACTCGTGGTCAGGTATACTCCTTGCCCCCCTACCCCCCACCGCTGCAACTGATCTTACTCTGCAACACCCTTGCCCCCCAAAAAACTACCCAAACCTATAAAAACCAACTCCTGGCCGGGCTCGGTGGCTCAAGCCTGTAATCCCAGCACTTTGGGAGGCCGAGGCGGGTGGATCACAAGGTCAAGAGATCGAGACCATCCTGGTCAACATGGTGAAACCCCGTCTCTACTAAAAATACAAAAAAATTAGCTGGGCATGGTGGCGCGTGCCTGTAATCCCAGCTACTCAGGAGGCTGAGGCAGGAGAATTGCCTGAACCCAGGAGGCGGAGGTTGCGGTGAGCCGAGATCGCGCCATTGCACTCCAGCCTGGGTAACAAGAGCAAAACTCCGTCTTAAAAAAAAAAAAAATTAAAAAAAATAAAATAAAATAAAATAAAAACCCAACTCCTATCCCACTGCCCTTTGCTAATGCCCTTTATGGCCTTAGCCCACCTGCACCCAGGTGAATAAACAGCTATGTTGCTCACTCAAAGCCTGTTTGCAAGGTCTCTTCATTCAAAGCGCACATTTTTCAACAATTCAATTAAAAGAAAAAAAAAATGTTATCTAGTTGTTGGCCTGATGAACATTGGCATTTTATAATGCACAAATTTTCCCAAACCAGATCTTTTGAGAACTCACTATCACAAGAACAGTATGAGGGAAATGGGCCCCCATGAGCCAATCACTTCCCACCAGGTCCCTCCCCCAACACTGGGAATTACAATTCAACCTGAGATTTGGATGGGGACACAGAACCAAACTATATCACTATTGGACTGTTTTTTACCAATTTTCTAATAAAGACAAATTCATCTTCCATGAGCAGAATTACTCTTCCTCCTGTGTGATCGTACAATATTCTGTTTATACCCCTATTATAGAGTCATCGCTGATTCATGTATGTTATTCATGTTTTCCAGAAATGCGCAGCACAAAAAGGACTGAATATTTATAGACCGGGATTTGCATGAGCATTTTTTTCAGGTCGTCCTATGCCTATATTAATGTTTCAACAAAATGGCTTGGCATCCTTTTCCTAAGACATCGAAATTAGAAGCAAATCTTTAAAGGAAAAATGTAGAGAAATCACAGATTGAAATAAACACAAAATGTATTGGCATCTCTATTGGAGATTTTTAGCATAACTGTGGTATGTTTCGTTCATTGCCATCCTGATTTCATCTAATTCAGAAATGAGCAAATTACGGCCTATGGGCCTAATTCAGCCTCTCATCTGTTTTTATATAGCAAATGAGTAGTTTTACATTTTTAAATGGTTGTTAGGAAACAAAAGAAGAAGAAGAATTGATAACACATGAAATTTAAAGGTCAGTATCTATAAATAAAAAATTTTTGGAACAAAGCCACCCCTGTTAATTTACTTATTGCCTGTATCTGTTGTGCTACAAAGGCAGGGCTGAGTAGCTGTGGTAGAGACCATGTGGCCTGAAAAGCTGAAAATATTTATTGTCTGGTCCTTTACAGGAAAAATTTGCTGATGGGGTGGGGGAGATAAGAGATTGATTAATAGGTACAAACATACCGTTAGATATGAGAAATAAAATCTAATATTCAATAGCAGAGTAGGGTGACTATATAGTTAACGACAACGTATTTTATATTTTAGGACAGCTAGAAGAGAGGACTTAAAATGTTCCCAACACGTAGAGTGATAAATAAACAAAGTAATGAATATCTTAAATACCCTGACTTGATCATTACACATCCTATGCATGTAATAAAATATTTCGTATGTCTCATAAATATGTATAAAATGTATCAATAGAAAAATTTTAAATTATTTTTAAAAATCATTTCTGACCCCTGAACTGATTCCTAGATTTTCAACTGCTCTATGAATGCTCCACCCAACCCCCTTTGTCACATAATAAAACTGCAAAGAAAAACTGAAAACAGGATTTAATCTTAATTTTTAAAATAAAGTTTGACTTCTATTATAAAATGTATATATATATATATATATGCTTATTACAGGAAAAATGTTCAACAGGAAAATATTGAAAGAGGAAGACAATACTGTCTCACAACTCAACTTCTGATTGTAGTTTGCTGTATTTCCCTCTTGTGGATTTTTTTTTTTCTGTTTAGTGTTTTTCAATATAAATTAGTACCTCATCATTTATTAAAACATAGATGTGAGATTTTTAAAAGTCATCCTTATTCCCAACCCCTAAGTGAAAACTACTTAGCATTATTATTATTATTATTATTTTTTTTTTTTTTTTTTTTGAGACGGAGTTTCGCTCCTGTTACCCAGGCTGGAGTGCAATGGCGCGATCTCGGCTCACCGCAACCTTTGCCTCCTGGGTTCAGGCAATTCTCCTGCCTCAGCCTCCTGAGTAGCTCGGATTACAGGCATGTGCCACCATGCCCAGCTACTTTTTTGTATTTTTAGTAGAGACGGGGTTTTACCATATTGACCAGGATGGTCTCGATCTCTTGACCTCGTGATCCACCCGCCTCAGCCTCCCAAAGTGCTGGGATTACAGGCTTGAGCCACCGTACTTAGCATTATTTAACATTCCCTTTCATGTTTTTCTATAAGAACAATTGTATTTTCAAAATATGAATCATAGTCATAGGTATACTTGGTTTTAAGAGGGGTTCTTAATTCTTAAAACTTAATCATAAACTAAAACTTAAAACTCCTGATCTCAAGTGATCTGCTAGCCTTGACCTCCCAAAGTGCTGGGATTACAGGTGTGAGCCTCACCAGCCTGACCAACATGGTGAAACCCCTACTTTACTAAAAATACAAAAAAATCAGCCAGGCGTGATGACGCATGCCTGTAATCCCAGCTGCTCAGGAGGCTGCGGCAGGAGAATCGCTTGAACCCATGAGGCAGAGGTTGCAGTGAGCTGAGATTGCACCACCAGCCTCAGCGACAGAGCGAGACTCCACACCAGCCTCAGCGACAGAGCGGGACTCCGGGGGAGAAAAATAAAACTTAATTATGTGCATGTGCATTTTCCATTTTTCTTTGTCTTAATGTTTTATGATCATGAATGCATATTCAAAATTTTACTGTCATTTTCATTTAAAATTACACAACTACATGCCTGAGGAAAACATTCATTCTGACCAACTTTTCTGTTTTTCTGAAAATGTCCTAAATATCACCAGATGCTGAAAAATTGCTATCCAAAAGAAACCCCAACACAAAGTAAAAGTATTACCTCCTTGCCTCCAGCTTATAATTATAAGGATTTTTTCTTTTCTTTTCCTTTCTTTTCTTTTTTTTCTTTTTTTTTTTTAAAGGTGGGGTTTCACCATGATGGCCAGGCTGGTCTTGAACTCCTGACCTCAGGTGATCCACCCACCTCGGCCTCCCAAAGCGCTAGGATTACAGGTGTGAGCCACAGCGCCCGGCCTGAAGATTTTTTCAAAGTAATAAATATACTTAAGTAATTTCTCTTAGAAATATATGGGTTTTTTTAATGTCCACTTTTTTACTCAGGTTCACCTTTATATACCTATCCGACTTCTTTAGATTGTTAACATTCTGATTTTGTTGTGTTGTTGTTGCTGAACTTAGTGTACAATATTGAAAATACCTATGAAGTTACTAATATGAGTGGCCTAGATCAGAAGGCATCCCATAGCAAGAAAGCATGTAAGAGACAGAGCAGGGGAGGGCTGAACTCACTTTCATGAGAAACCCACTCTCTCAATAACATAACCCACTCCTATGATAATGGCATTAATCCATTCATGAGGGCAGAGTCTTCATGACCTAATCACCTCCTTTTTTGTTGTTGTTATAGAGATGGGGTGTCACCATGTTGGCCAGGCTGGTCTCTAACTCATGACCTCAGATGATCCACCCATCTTGGCCTCCCAAAGTGCTGGGATTACAGGCGTGAGCCACGGCGCCCCGCCTACCTCTGTTTTTTTTTTTTTTTTTAACTTGAAACTTCAACTAGAGTTCCTTTATTAAAAGAACTAGATCAATGCCAGGCACAGTGGCTCACGCCTGTAATCCCAGCACTTCGGGAGGCCGAAGGCGGGTGGATCACGAGGTCAAGAGATCAAGGCCATCCTGGTCAACATAGTGAAACCCCGTCTCTACTAAAATACAAAAATTAGCTGGGCATGGTGGTGCGTGCCTGTAATCCAAGCTACTCAGGAGGCTGAGGCAGAAGAATTGCCTGAACCCAGGAGGCGGAGGTTGCGGTGAGCCAAGATCGTGCCATTGCACTCCAGCCTGGGTAACAAGAGCGAAACTCCGTCTCAAAAAAAAAAAAAAAAAAAAAAAAGAACTAGATCAAACAATAGATTTTGAATGAGAAATTATTTTTCACATCAATTTTACTGTATCACAAACATTTTACAGTACAAGTTTAAATAAAGCAATTTTCTACTTATTAAAAGATTCTTCACCTCCTAAATAGAAATTGAAGGGGAAGCAATGCTATTAAGGATCACACATAAGCTAGTAGTGGCAGAAGAATTATAGTCTAAGTGACATTAACATTTTAACCACAGAGCTGCAGCTGTTTGCATATGTTCTGAAGCTAGCATAATCTTTAAGACAGCCAGGAAAAAAAAAACCCTCAAAACAAATTACATAATATTCTATCTAGAAAAATCTCTAGGAAAGCACATTCTTGGGTGAAAGAAAACCACCCCTTTGTCATTGTGATGCACTGAAAAAAAGCTTTGGAGCCTGACAGTTTGGCTCCGGGCTCTCCCACTTGTTTGGTGGGGTTTGAGTCACTGTAAAATATGATTGTGCTCCTTCTTCAAAGGATTATTTTGAGAATTCAATAAGAATGGATGGAAGGGGCCTAGTAGATAGTAAAACCTGATCAAAATATCAATAATTTAATTATTTTCTAGAAGCCAATTGAAACATTGTAACATTTATTTTCTTGGTAGACCTTATGAGTTTATTCTCAAAGGCAATTTAAAAATCTCCCTCAAGAAAGCCATGCACCTTTTTATTAATTATGTTTATACTACTAACAATGTTTGGCTAATGATGTAAAAATACTTAAATCATACTAGACCCAGAAAAAGAGATGTTTCTCAACTTATGGTAGGATTACATCCCAATAAACCCACTGTAAATTGAAAATACCATAAATTGAAAATGCAATCCTACCTTAAATATGCTCAGAACACTTACATTAGCCTACAGTTGAGCAAAATCATCTAACACAAAGCCTATTTTATAGTAGTGTTCTGATGTAATCTATGGATGTTCTACTGAATACGTATGGCTTTGGCACTATGGAAAAGTTCTAAATTGGAGACCATACATAAATGAAAGACTAAAATTGAAAAAGAAAAAGAAAATGTAATAGGTTTCTCTAAATGAGAATGTCAAATTCAGAATTGCTTAACATATATAAAAGTACACATTCTAATTTATGAAAAAATATTATATCATTATTACTTTACTATATATTAGTATACACCAGCTGCATTTTCTCAAATGGCAAATGAGGCACATTTCTCTTTGATTCTCCCAGGAACCTCAGCATCATCTGTCTTTTGGAGGATTCAGATTCTTATGACATCTGTGATACCGTCCATAAGGATACCAGCAGTGCTTAGTCATAAAGAACATTTTGCTAAGTTGTTCTACCATAGGTTCTTGCTCAAGGGGTTCAACTTTTTCTTCCAATCTGGTTTTCAGGATTTGATTATGTGTTTCTTCATTATTGTGCACAGGATCTGGCCAAGGGATAGGTTTTGTGTGTTCATATGCAATGTCCACAGAAGGGTGGTAACATACTATTGTCCTGCCATCAGAAGTCAGAGCAAGCTTTACTTTGCAATTATAGTCATCTGGTAGAGGAGAGCATGTAGATTTATGACAAACACAATATAAATCTCCATTTTGGATTGAAAATAAATGTTTCAAGATAGTTAGCTTTGACCCCACCCATTTTACTGCAGCTATAGCCATGGTGTTTCAAGATGCTTATCAAGTGATATGAAAAAAGACGGTCTGAAGAGAAACTGCTTTTAAAATCTGCTTCTCGGCATACTAATTTCTACTCCTGCTTCACAGCTTCTCACCACGAGTCTGCCATCTTGTTTAGGGAACACATTCAAACCCTAGCAGTACTCAAGAGAGTTATGAAAAAGGGAAAGAAACTGACAAGAGCCATGTCTACCCAAGAACCACTCCCTAATACCTACCCTGTAAACCTCTTCCACCTCCACAAGCTATCAGGAACTGGAAACTGACTAAATACTGGGTTATTTCCTTTTTTATATCAACAGGGAAGCCTCAAAAGCATGAATTCCCTAAAGCAATTCATAACAGTGCCAACGTAGAGACCCTGACACATCAGCCCCAATCTGGGAAATTATTCCTTCCCTGATATAATTATTAGGGGCAAGGTAAACAGAATTAATCCAGTGAAGAACACTTGATATCTTATCTGTTCTATAAATCAGACTACCCATAAGTGGGCCATGTTTAGTCCAGAAAAAAAGTGGCTTACTCTTGCACAGAAAGTGAAAGGAATGGGAAGCTCCACCATATTTTTCTTCCTGGCTACTGTACCTCAAACTAACAGTCTAATCTTTTAGGAGCTTGGATATTGAATACTCATCTAAATGGTCCATGGCTTGGGTTAAGGAGAACTGAACTAAGATATTTCATTGCTGAAGCAATTAGACCACCCTATTGAGCTCTGTAGAGAATTGGTTGAATTCACAGTGAAATAACCTTAGGAATACAGGGCTACAGAGACTTGGAGCCTGACTCAAGGCTAGAATCTTAGTCTGTTTATCCTGCTATAACGGAATACCACAGACTGAGTAATTTATAAAGAAGAGAAATGTATTTCTCACAGTTCTGGAGGCTAGGAGTCCAAAACTAAGGTGCCAGCATCTCATGAGGGGTGTTCTCTCTTTCCAAGATGGCACCTTGAATGCTGCACTCTCTAGAGGAGAGGAAAGCTGTGTCTCCACATGGCAGAAGACAAAAAGGCAAGAGGAGTGAGTTCCCTCCGTCAAACTCCTTTATAACATCATTAATTCATTCACAAGGGTGGAACTCTCATGACCTAAACCCTCCCAAAAGGCCCCACCTCTCAACACTGTTGAATTGGGGATTACATTTCCAACACATTAATTTTGGGAGATACTTCAGACCACAGGTGCCAACGACTAGGAAAGGCCTAGCATCTCTACTATGAGCACATCAAACTGACACAGTTTCTGGGTCTAGATCTGGGGCATATAACTATCTTGATCAGGCTGGCTGTAGTCCACTCTCACAGCTTCTACTGCCCTAATTCCTGATTAAGTCTCATGAGCTTCCAGTCAAAGACCCTATTCATATGTCAGGGTATATGGTATAAACAGTTGAGCATTGCTCAAAAGAGAAGCAAGAAAAAAAGCGGCTGAAGGTGGATATTAGGAGGGCGGGGTGGTACACCTCAACTGCCATGTTAATGAGCTTAGACTCTACCCAGTAGACACTGAGTAGATGCCACAAGGTTTGATGCAAGAGATAAAATGATCAGATTTATGTTTTAGGCCGGAAAGGCTGTGTAGGGAACATTGGCCAAAACTGATTAGGCTCTTTATATAACAAGGAACAGAATCCCAGTATAACCACCTTAAGAAAAGTTTTGGCCAGGTGTGGTGGCTTACGCCTGTAATCCCAGCACTTTAGAAGGCTGAGGCAGGCAGATCACCTGAGGTCAGGAATTCGAGGCCAGCCTAGCCAACATGGTGAAACCCCGTATCTACAAAAATGCAAAAACTAGCCAGGCATGATGGTGGGTGCCTGTAATCCCAGCTACTTGGGAATCTGAGGCGAGAAAAATCACTTAAACCGGGAGGCGGAGGTTGCAGTGACCCAAGATGGCACTATTGCACTCCAGCCTGGGTGACAGAGCAAGACTCTGTCTTAAAAAAAATTTTTTTAGCCGGGCGCGGTGGCTCAAGCCTGTAATCCCAGCACTTTGGGAGGCCGAGGCGGGTGGATCACGAGGTGGAGAGATCGAGACCATCCTGGTCAACATGGTGAAACCCCATCTCTACTAAAAGTGCAAAAAATGAGCTGGGCATGGTGGCGTGTGCCTGTAATCCCAGCTACTCAGGAGGCTGAGGCAGGAGAATTGCCTGACCCCAGGAGGCGGAGGTTGCGGTGAGCTGAGATCGCGCCATTGCACTCCAGCCTGGGTAACAAGGGCGAAACTCCGTCTCAAAAAAAAAAAAAAAAAAAAAAAAATTTAATTTTTTAAATTTATTTATTGCTTAGTATAACTGAACATTTTACACACAGGCCCACTGTGCACTTGACTTGATAGACAGCTCCAGCATCCATCTCTTGGCTCTGCTTCTCCTGAGAATCAGCTTCATTCCCAGGCTGGGTCACCTTTCATTGGCAAAATGCCAGTAGCTCTAGCCTCACAGTCTCACAACACCTAGGTGAGGGGAAGAGAGTGCATCCCTTCCAGGAGATTCTGTTGAAGCTTGTTAGATTCTTTCCAGAACCCCAGCAAATACTTCCCGATGTCACTGGCTTTCTGTTGGATTATCTGCTCATCCCTGAGTCTATCACTAAGGCCAGACTGACTGTGTCTTAGTCAGTTTAGGCTGCTATAACAAATTACCATAGACAGATGACTTCAATAACAAGCATTTATTTCTCACTGGTCTGGAGGCTGGACACTAAGATCAGGGTCTCAGCATGACTGGGTTGTAGGAGAGAGCCTTCTTCTTCCTTTATGGCCTCACATGGCTTTTTTTGGTGTGTGCACAGAGAGACAGAGAGAGAGCTTCTACCTTCCAGGCTCAAACTATCCTTCCCACTTCAGCCTCCACAGTAGCTAGGATTACAGGTGTTTGTACTACCATGCCAGCTAATTTTGTTTACTGTTTTTTAGACATGAGGTCTCACTATGTTGTCCAGGCTGGTCTCAAACTCCTGGATTCAAGCAATCCTCCTGCCTTGGCCTCCCAAAGTGCTAGGATTACACCCAGGGTGAGCCACCATGCCCAGTCTCTTCCTCTTTTTTTTTTTTTTTTTTTTTTTTGAGACGGAGTTTCGCTCTTGTTACCCAGGCTGGAGTGCAATGGCGCGATCTCGGCTCACCGCAACCTCCGCCTCCTGGGTTCAGGCAATTCTCCTGCCTCAGCCTCCTGAGTAGCTGGGATTACAGGCACGCGCCACCACGCCCATCTAGTTTTTTGTATTTTTAGTAGAGACGGGGTTTCACCATGTTGACCAGGATGGTCTCGATCTCTTGACCTCGTGATCCACGCGCCTCGGCCTTCCAAAGTGCTGGGATTACAGGCTTGAGCCACCGCGCCCGGTCAACTTTTTTTTGTATTTTTAGTAGAGACGGGGTTTCACCATGTTGACCAGGATGGTCTCGATCTCTTGACCTCGTGATCCACCCGCCTCGGCCTCCCAAAGTGCTGGGATTACAGGCTTGAGCCACCACGCCCGGCCGTCTTCCTCTTTTTTAAGGGCATTAATCTCATAGGGCCCCACACTCATGACTTCATCTACCCCAATTCCATCTCAAAAGCCCCACCTACAAATACCACCATATTGTGGATTAGGATTTCAACATGTGAATTTTGAGGGGACACAAGCATTCAGTCCACAGCAGAACAGATGTGCTGATCAGCATTAGCCAGTCAGGACCCATGCTGTAAATGGGGACCGATATTGGAAATGAGGGAGGGGCAGCCCCACTCATACTATAGCTTGGCAGTGGGGGAGGGTGGTTTCCCAAAGGAAAATTGTTTTCTCAAAGGAAAAGTGGTTTCTCAAAGGAAACTCATTGTTTTACCAAAAGGGTGAATTGACATTGTGGTGGCCAACCCCCAAAGTGACCCCCAAGGATCCTCACATGCTGGTCTTCATGCACACCCTCCCACATGCACTAGCTTTGTTCTATGCAACCACTAGAATGTGGCTGGAGTGAAAACATGGGTAATTAGGTTTTAAAAGACTGTAGCTTTCCTCTCTCTCTCTCTCTCTCTCTCTCTCTCTCTCTCTCTCTCTTTCACACACACACACACACACACACACACACACACACACACACATACACACACAAATATATGCATTACTCACTTGGGAAGAAGCCAGCTGCCATGTCATGACACTCAGGTAATCTATGCCAAGGCTGACTGAAGCCTCCAGCCAACAGCCAGCAAGGAAAGGGTCCTGCTCACACCATGTGAGTGAGCTTGAAAGCAGAATCTCCAGCCCCAGTTGAGCCTTGAGATGATGGTGGCCCCAGCTGACAGCTTGACTATAACCTCACAAGCACCCTGCTGCAGTTCCACTCCACTAAGCTGCTCCTGGATTCCTAACCCCCAGAAACCATGTGAGATAATATGTTTGCTGGTTAAATTTGGGGGTAATTTGTCACATAGCAATAGGTAACTAATACAGATGGTGAGGCAAAGACAGTTGTACATTACGTCCATCATGGGATTGATGGGGCAGCAACAAGGGTGGAAACAAATTGGAGAAATATTGAGGAGACCAATCACAGCAACTTGGTTATCAATTTGACATGGTAGATAAAGAAGGGAGAAGAATAAAATTTCAAGCAAATTAGTGAAATTTGCTTACTATTCCATTGTGTATATACTCCACATTGGGCACAGTGGCTCACGCCTATAATCCCAACACTTTGGGAGGCCAAGGCAGGCAGATTGCTTGAGCCCAGGAGTTCAAGACCAGCCTGGGCAACATGGTGAAACCCCATCTCTATAAAAACTACAAAAAAAATAGCCTGGCATAGTGGCACACACCTGCAGCCCCCGCTACCTAGGAGGCTGAGGTAGGAGGATCACTTGAGCCCAGGAGGTGGAGGTTGCAGTGAACTGAGATCACACCACTGCTCTCCAGCTGGGTGACAGAGTGAGATCCTATCTCAAAAAAATTTTTTTTAATTTAAAAAAAGAATAAAATTTCAC